ATCCAATCCCCAAAATGATCATGTTTAATGTTTCACACCCCCATGAATGCTGTAGTTTGTTAAAACTAGCTATCTGTAACAATTATGGTTGTGACGTCTTATTTCCGCAGAAAAGCCGGGGTGACCCAACTCAGGCTAGCCATTAGCTTATCAGTCTGGTACGAAATGATCTCACCTTCTCCAAATTGAGGCCATTCGGAGCTGTTTATACTTTGTCACAGAAATGAAGAAGAAAAGATTTGAAAGTTCTCTTTTTTATGTAGATAAAATCACTATGCAGCAACGTAAATGCCTGCTTTAGACACATTTTTTTTAGAAATACTAAGTAAATATCACTTCTAATAAGCTCCTCAAAGTTTGAAAGGTGTTTTAAAAAATTCTAATTTCTGCCTTTTTACAAATCTGAGGACACTGAACACACTGAAGCATACATCTGTATTTGACGAATGAATAGATGTGGAATTGAACAGCTCATCTTTTAGCACTTATTCATTAAAAATGTATTTGTTTTTCGTATTTTACATCCTGTAAGGTCTGTGGTTAAACTTGAACTTTGTTATTCAGCTGATATATTTTCAAAATGAATTTGATTCATATGCATGACTCTTTGAAAAGGGATATTATCTAGCTTTAAATGGGAAAGTTGCTGGATTTAATTGACAATTATCTAAAGAAAATGCCATTGGTTCTGGATTTGCACTAATGGTGTTCGCCTTTTGAGAAGAAGACTGCTGTGAATGTGAGAATAAACAGCGGTGGTGCTGTTTAACGAGGAAAGGGATCAGTCAAGGTAGACAAGAGGGTAAAACAGCCTCTTTAGTGATGAAAGCAGGGATATGAGGATTCTGTCCAGATGTTCAAAAAGCAGAAGCAAAGACAGACTACAAATGTGACAAAAATGCTGGAAATGAGACCAAGAACAAACTTCTTGTTTAATATGACCCCAGATTAAATAAACTGAATCATTTCTGCAGTCTGTGCAGAACTAGTCCCATTTACAACTGAACAGATGGGTGATTAGCTTCTTTCTGTACCACCGATGAGCTACTTTGACTTGGATCTTAAATATTTATTCAACGGTGCAATCTGTAAGACTGCCACTGTGTGGTCAAATGTGGGTACTGCAGTCCATTTTTTTAAGCAAAAAGTTACTTTCTTGCTCCCATTCCATGAGTGTCATGGCTGTTGCAAATCATCACCATAAGATTCTAGATGACCGTTAACTCACTGCTGGCCATTTTCTGATCAGAAAAGCCCTTCGCTGCCAGCATTTTTTCACAGTTTTTACAGTTTTCTTAAGAGTCACAGAACGTTTCGCTCTATGTCGACGCCAAAACTACCAAAACAAAGAGGAGACTCATCTCTTACATCAGGAAGAATCCGGTGTTTCAAACTTTATCCATTCTTTCATAATCCGTTGTCGAATTGTGATCGGCAGAATCTTTTCTGGTTCGCGCCTCACCTTTTTTTTACAGCAGCGGCCCAAAACGATCTAACACATGGATTTTCTGCTTCCTGATCATGTAGCCTGTGATGTACGTGGATGAAGATTGGCTTTAGAGCTGGGATGTTTGTTCTCATGGTGCGGCGGCTCGTTCCGACACCCATACAGTGAAAAAATGCAATGGCAGTGAATGGTTGGATTTAAGATGATGACTTTTGTCATCAATGGCAGTTAATGAGTTAAGGCGAATCATACACAGTAATTTTACAAGTAGAAAAATACATTGTTATATCTGGTGGTAGCACTTGTTGGTGTTTTACAATAGGGAGCACTTACAACACTTATTACGGTAGTATGCCTCCTATATTACAGGATGTGTTTTGTTTACCATCTTACAGTTAGCTTGATGTTATAGTACTGAACGAATCATTAAGGTAAGTAAAACACCATGAATGACTAATTATTCACATCACACATACATTTCACTGTGCTTTTGATTCATTGATAATTTAAAAAGCACCTTGAGATGTTTTTAGCGCCATATTCTAATTCACTGTTAGCATTGTTAACTCAACGTTAGCCTCTAGCCTGCTTTACTCGATATTAGAGTAAAACAAAAAGATGTTGTGGCTTCTTAGGGGTACAAGACATAACTTCTGGGTTGCTCCTGTTTACTGGTTTCAGTTCTTTAAACAACTCAGGAGCTTTTTGCCTAAAGAAAACACAAACTCCGAGTGTAAACAGTAACTACGTCCTGCTTTCGTTTTTATTTATTTTTTCACCCTCCAACTGTCCTAATGGGTGTGACCTCGCAAGGAAAGTTGACCATTGAGCAGGGTTGATGGTTTATCCCTTGGGTCCATGTGGCAGGGGTGAGGAGTGAGCACCACCTCACCCCTGCCATGTGGACCTCAAGGGATAAACCATCAATCCTGCTCAATGGTCAACTTTCCTCGCGGGGTCACCCATAAAGACAGCGGGAGGGTTAAAGGAGAAAAACTGACAAGCCCCCCCCCCCCCCAGCCGAGACTGTTTAGTGATTATACCACTTTAGGAACCTTACGCATTGCACCTTTAATTCCCATTAAGCTGTTTATCACTGTCTGCACACAAAACCTTGGAAGTAGAACAGTGCATTCTTCGGCTCTTATCAATACTTGACATTTTTGTGATAATAACTAGGGATGCACCGATGGATCGGCATTTGATCGTAATCGGCCGATAGCGCCCCTATCGGTTTTGATCGGAATTTTCAAAATAGATCAAAGCAAACCGATCAGGTAGGGTTGTCACGGTAACCAGTGTAGCGCTAAACCCCGGTAAAAAAAAAAAAAGTTGACAATAATAACCGTCTTGTTTTTAAAAAACTATATTATCTTGGTGGGTTTACCGTGGCTGCGGTGTAGGCGCGGTGACCCTTACCAGCCACCGTATCATCGGCTGAAGTTGCCGGCGGCACATACGCGCTTTGTTTACAACAAAACTTTCTTGAAGCTAAAGCTGAAATAATGGCCAAAGGAGGAGACGGCAGCGCTCAGGAGGACATTTATTATTCCTCAAAGAAGACAAAGTCGGAAGTACGGGCATCTTTTGGATATCTGAAGAATGCCGAGGGACAGTTAATAGAAGACGGCTATCCTGTTTGCAGCACGTGCAGAAAAAGTGTCTGTGAAAGGCAGCAACGCTTCAAATCTCATGACACATCTGCGTGACCATCACCCACAACTCTACAGTCAACACAAGGCAAGTTAACGTCAGCGTTTTAGCTAAAATGCGTGATCCTAGGATTTGGGTTGAGGGAGAAAGCAACAAGTCGCTATATAAAGCAGCCGCAGCGCCGCTACCTGCATATAAACCGTGTCGCGGACACCCCCATGTTGAAATGACGCTATGCATTACGGGGCTCCCAGGGGCAGATAAGAGTTGGTCTCTCTCCGAGAATAATTATGAATTTAACAATGATTACTGCCTGATGACATTTTCCCACATCTGCAAAGCTCACTGGAAGGACACAAACCGAGGACAATATTTTCCTGATATACGGATTGCTCAAGTAAGGGTAAAAAAAAAGTATCTGATTAGAAGGCTACTTGAGTACTGAGTATCATCTGGTCTAATATTTTTAAATGATGACATCAAACAGACATAAAATAAGAAGTTATGGGCAAATATTGGTATTTTAAAGACTAAAGGGGAAAAATGTAAACAAATAAACAACATAATTACAAAATAACACATTTTAGGCAAAATTTAGACACAAACTGAGGACAATATTTTCCTGATATATAGTGTTTATTTAATTGTGTGAAAATGTAGCACGTTTAAAAAAAATACCGCGATAATACCGAAAACCGTGGTAATTTTGGACACAATAACCGTGAGGTTAAATTTTCACACCGTGACAACCCTAATACAGACCATTTTAGATTAGGTTACATTTCCTTTATTCCCAGATTATGTAGTTTGTAGCACTCATTATAATGTTGTAGAAAATTTCTGGCCAATCCACGTGATCGGTATCGGTGATCGTATCGGTGATCAGCATTCTTTGATATCGGTATCGGTGATCGGCATTCTTTGATATCGGTATCGGTGATCGGCAGCAAAAAACCTGATCGGTGCATCCCTAATAATAACTTCTCTAAATTCTTATCAACATTTTCAGCCCAGAGTAAAAAATGAGCCCAAAGCAGGCCTTGAAACACTAGAACTTACTGTTTATGTGTCTAAAGTGTGCCAAATGAGTTAAATCATCCTTTAGTGTTATATCCTTGATTATCCGGTGAATATACATATCTTCAAATGTCAAAATAATGTTTGTAACTTCATTTTCTTATGTTGTCTGGTTTAAAACACTTAATTTGCTCCAGCGCATCTCAGGCTGTTCTCCATGCCTCACACGTTTACCCTCCTAACCCACTGCTCTGTTGAACCGTATGTTTTCCTGCTTCCACATGCTCACATCTCAAGCGTGGCTTAATCCTGCCCCGCACACACCAATCAGAAACAGGCACTGGTTTAGGTAATATCCTGGGAAGCCAATGGGAAAGCAGTACCGAGCCAACGCCAGAGGAACAGACATGTAGACAACCGGCGTATAAATACGGGAGAGGAGTGGGAAAATGTGGAATCTTCCAGAAGAAAGTGATTTCTAACAGATAACAGATGAAAACAAGCTGAAGTGATGAGAGAAAGGAGGTTTAACAGAGTAGAGAGCAGAACGAGGATGTGAATGTTTCAGTAGGTGTTACACAACATTATTAAGTAACTAAACCTAAATGCCTCTTCTTCACCTTCCCAAACTGTTTGTGCTCATCTTAACTATTAAAACCTGCCTTTTCTCTTTTTCTGACTTCCAGCCTGCAAATGAAATGCTGCATCAAAGAGCCACTGCAGCCCCGATCAGTATCATCTCAAACCTTAAACCTTTTCAGCAACTTCTTCACACTTCTTTTACCAAGTGGGTCAATCACTTACTATCGATTTGTCAAAAGGAAAGAACCGATTTCTGCTCCAGCTCAGCTAAAAGATAATCTACAAGGAATGTTCAACATACCTGCAAATGACTCGGTTTCATCCAGAAGTAGCATGATTTTTTAGAAAAGACAAGAGACGGTCTCTTCTGTCTGTGAAAACGGTGTCCTGCTTCAGGTTGGGGGTAAAACAAAACCTTAAGAATTAAAAAAAGGAGGTTAATCTCGCTTCCTCTCTGCTTGTTTTTAAACTCAGCTGGTTTTTAATCAGCTGATCAGTGAAAAATCAACTGTTCTGTGTGCTCCTCTCCACTCAATAACATTACCAATGGGAGGCAGGAGGGTTGGCAGATGAGAGCTTACATAACCCTTCATGCTGGATCCGGGGCCCCATCGAGGGGGCTCTCGTGCAGCAGGGTCAGATCCTCCTTTATCCTGAAAGAGGGGTGATGACACGCCCCCGTGAACACACGCAGTAGAACAGAGCATACACGGAAGCAGGCACCTACATGCTCACGCTGCTGGTGAATTTCTTGGTCAGCAAAAACCTTCGGCTTCTCGTTCTCTGGTCAAGCGACCTGCAGACGCTGACCCAGGCTCACCCCAAGCATTAATGTGTTACACATTAACGTTAAAAGCCACAACAACACTTCTCGAGGCTCGGGGGAAGCAGGATGATGTGACATTTTACACCCGTTCAAACGTTTATTTCTCTTTGGTTTCCATAAAACTGCCTCATGTGCCGTGCTCAGGTACGAAACACACACCAGCAGCTGTTGGCCGTGTTGTGTAAGAATGCAGAAGAATGGGGAATGCAGGAAAACACGGTGGCAAAAGAAAGACCTGGTCAAACCGAATCGAAATTCCAAACTCCAAATTCAAAAGTACACTAAGTTACAATATGTTGTTTTTATCACACCTTAAATACCAAATGGTGACTGGAAAATGACAGAACTGATTGAAGAAGCTTCAAATCTAAATGCCAAAAGTCACAGACGTCCAATAGGAATCTACAAAACTTAGAAAGTCAAAGTCTCAAACAAACAACTGAAAGTAATGCTTCATACATTAAAGGGAATTTTAAAAATCCCAAATTTGACTTCCTAAATAAATTCACCAATCATCCTAAGTCGTGGATCTCAAATATAAATAATTATTTTGCTCTGATTGTCTCCTTTAACATCTATTTTCAACAGTATGAAGTACTAAAGAATGAACAAAAATCCAAACAGGTACATTTCACAACGATGTCCCCACGGATCACACGCCTTACATAAAGTTCGAGACAAGGACTTAATTTGGAGAAGATCAAGGACAACTTCTGCTACCATTTCATAAGATGCATTATGAAACCTCCTGAGCTCCGGCAACAGATTTGGCAGCACCACTATGTAGGTCAGGAAGATAAAAATACTCATATCTGAACAGAAACAAAGGAGTTGGGAGAGTGGAGGACCGCGATGTCCCGGCTACTCACCCATGGCATGTGGCTGAAAGTCTCTTTACCTCCTAAGCTGCTGAAAGATCCATGCCTCCTTTTGGCAGTTTCACTTTTTAAAACTTTCTCCAGCTGTTGTGTGTTTTATCTTCGCAGGGCAAACACGTTTCCCCTCTTCTCTTACTGACATGAGCTTGTCAGAGAGTGTGTGTGTGTGTGTGTGTGAGAGAGAGAGAGAGAGCAAAAGAGAGAGTGTGTATGTCTCCAAAATTCTAGCCTTGTCTCGCAGTCTTTCACCAGCTCTCCAGTCAGGACAGCGTGCCAAAGGGACAATTACAAAACAATGAGTCGCTGAAAATGGCCTCAGTCTGTTGGGTGTAGACGTCCCCCCTCCTGGACGAGATCTGCTGCTTTTTCCTGTATGCCTCCTCCTTTTCCCCTCCCCCCTTGGCCACTAACTGACACAGGAGGCAGTGTGATGTCACCAAGCCACACCCACTCCAGAGAAGCTGCCTTAGGTAACAGAAGTAATGAGGTTCCCATAAGGACAAGACAAAGCTCTTCTGAGGCTGTTCAACTCCGACACTGAAGATGATGACTTCAGTGGTTTCAGTGCGCAGGAGGGGGATGAATAAACTAATCAATAACTTTTCTGTTTTGTTTGATACTGATCAGTTCAGTTACGTTCAGTTAAACTACGTTTTCAGTTCAGTATCTGTGGCTTTTAGCCCGGCGCGGCTTATATAAGTACAGTTCCATGTGTTTTTAAAAACTTAGTAGGTGCGTGCTATACTGAGGTGAGCTCTATAGTCCGGAAATTACGGTACATCGCCTGGATGATGCAGGGGGAGGGGCAGTGGGAGAAAAATGGTGAGGTGGGGGAGGAGGTGGGTGAAACTCAGGTCTGCCTGGTAACATGTAAACACACACACACACACACACACACACACACACACACACACACACACACACACACACACACACACACACACACACACACACACACACACACAGTCACCTTTGCCACAGTGCCACAATTTTCATGTCAAGCCACACCCCCTCCCTGTGAGAAGAGAGAGCTCACATTTCAACATTAACCCTGAATGACCCCACAGTGACAGCACGACAGGAAAGTGACATTAGCGCGCCTCTGTTAGCGCGCCCCAGGGCAGCTGTGGCTACATCGTAGCTCATCCCCAACAGTGTGTGAATGTGTGTGTGAATGGATGAATGATACACTGTGGTGTAAAGCGCTTTGGAGTCCTTACTCTGAGAGGCGCTCTACAAGTGCGGGTCATTTATCATTTATCATTAGAGACAAAGCTTCTGGTGTTTGGTGATTGGAGAAAAAAATAGATTTTAAAGTAAATTTACTTGCAAAGATGAAAAAAATGTTATTGCAACATTAGTCATTGACAACTTTATCCATTAGATCTTTGGCTGGTAAGAAAGGTAGAACAAGTTGAAGTGCAATTGTGTGAAGTACTGACAAAGGTTTGCCATTTTCTGCACGTAATCCTGAAAGTTTTACATAATATTGGAGGTGTTTCGCCTCTGGGATGAGAAGTGAAGGAGTTAAAGCATCCTGATGTTTTGTTGACATGTGGATGGTGGGATGGGTTGACAGATCAGGGATTCATCTATTGTTGGAAACAAGCAGCTTTATTCTTTAGTCTACTTCCCTTACGTTAAAGAGCAAGTCACCCCCCTCCAGAGTCTTACTCCACCCACACTTCCTGACTGAAAAACACATCAAAAGGAGGCATTAAGGCTACAATGACAAATCCGCAAAACAAGCTAGCTTAAAACACTTTTTCATGCCACTTAAGCCATGGGGCACACCGGAGGTGGACGTGCCACGCAGCGCTGCTGAGTGCTTCTTGGTAAGTCACGCAATAGTCACAACATCATGCAGGACTTGAAAGCAGGAAGTGGGAAGTGACTTTATTGTTTATACGTGATCAGACTTGCCATCGTGTTTTATCTGAATATTATAAGATCAATAGTACTTTAAAGGGACTATAAGGAAGTTTGACAGTCAAAACATGTATAGAAATAACACATTTTTTTTCTTCATACATTCTCCTGCAATGCCCTGGTCCTGTAGAATGAGCCCTGGCTCATTACTATTACTGTGATTGCGTGTTTTTCTGTAAAATCACAGAACAAGAGAGCTGCTCGGGTCGAGCAGACTGCTTCATGCGCGTTCACGCTCAGGCATAGCCCGTAGCATTTGCTATCCGTAGCTTTAGCAGCAGAGAGTGAGGCAGTGCCAACTCAGCGACTTTAGCCTGATTTATGCTTCTCCGTCTGCGTCAGTGCGGAGCACACGCAACGCCATTATCCGTCCTTGCGTAGGGGTCCGGCAGGCACGCAAGTACGTACGGAGTCAAGCCCACTTTTTTAAACATCCGTCGAACGAGACGGATTACGCAAGCTTGTGATTGGTCAGGACGCCGCTGTTGTTTACAGCACCGCCATTGCAAAGAGAGCCGAGTTTAACTAGCGGCAGACACGGAGAAGCTTGAAGAATACCTCGCGAAAAAACTAAAAATATGAACGTTTCATCCTCCCGTGACTGGAGGAGTGAAAAGATGCGCAGCAAGCGTTTTATTTGTGGACGGAAATGACAGGAAACGTGGGTTTAGCGGTGGGGAGCGCATGAAGAGGTGGGAGAATGAGAGACAAATATGTCCGTGTTAAAAGTCTCTTCTATACACAAAAAACACAATATAAACACACTATCTTGGACCGATACATGACAGGATACCACAGAACAGCGCTACGCCCTCTGTGGTCCTGCCGGGCAATTGCTTTGCAACACTCTCCAGGAGACGGAGAAGTAAAAGAGCAAAACGCTTCCGTCAATCCGTGCGTGTCTGTCCCTTGCGGAGCTGACGGAGAAGCATAAACCAGGCTTTACTCTCACAGTAGCTAATATAAAGGCTAGCAGTTAGCTTCGTCATTTCACCGACCAACGATAAAAAGTGAAAGAAAATTTAGCCTTTTTTGTTTTGGCATCACGGTGGAGCATGAAAGTAAATGTAAGAGTAATGTCTTTGGAGGTAAAAACAAAGAGCTAAAACCAGAGTGAACATCGTCTGAGGGAGCTAAAGGAGGCTATGAAATCACAGACTGATGGAGACCTGGCTTTGTTGCTACTGAACATGTAAGCAATAATGTTTTTGTCCAACAGTGTGGATCTTTTTTACGTTGTGGCTTGTTGAGTCTCTGTTGGACTGTGTTAGTGTTAGCTCATTGCTAGCACTAGCTACAGCAGACTGCTACAGGGTTGTTTATGAAAACTGTAATTCTGTTTTCAACCAGTAGGAGGGAGAAGTGGGAAAAATCTTTAGTGTTGCTTTAAATTGTGTGATTGAAAAGTGAGGACATGTTCACTAAAGGGAAAATTAATTAAAAATAGAAAAAAATATCAGTTTATTAAATTAGTTCATAAAAAGATTTCATTTGTTTAACTTTTTTCAGAAGAAGTTCTGAATGTTTTTGATGCTTTTAAATGTTCATGAATCTTTAACTTTGATTGCTTAATTATTGATATGAATGCATCAAAAGTTGGAAAAAGGGATGAATGCACATTTAAAGAATGACATAATAATCTCCATAAATGGTTAATAAATCTCAGAAAAAAGATGTGATGATTTTTGTTCTTTAGCTGCACCACCTAGTTCCTGTTTGGATTTCAAGCTTCATGACTTCTGTTCTTTCTTTCTGCTGCTTTGAAATAAAAACGCTTGAATTTCTTGCATAAGGAGATTTGTCCAGTTTCTAACAAAAACTGGCACGGTGCTGCTTCTCGCCGCTGATTAAACCAGCAGGTGTCAGCAACATTTGTGGGAGGAAACATGTTTAGTTGTTTTTCATCATCTCCAACCAGAGTGAGTGTGAAGGCGCTCTGCTCCATGCCGCCTACACACGAGTTGGGAGCAACAGGCTAATTAACAGACTATTACTGTCCTGCTCTCTGGAGTCGGTGTGTGCTCGTGCGCGTGCACGGTGAATGATGTGACTAAACCTCACACGGATTCATCAGAGCTTTGTGGAGCCTAAATATGGCCATGCACATATTTTCATGCTTCACTCAAAGGCCCACACACGCATGTGGATAAGATGATCAGGACAGCAACAAACTACAGGTAGATAAAGTTCATTATGATGACCAAAAGTACAATTCTGAGTGTCTAATGATAAATGACCATCAGATGATCTCTCTATTACAAATGTCCTAAAAGTGCAAGTTTATTAAGCAAAACAGTTATTTTTTTTGCTAATTTGCCTGATCATACTCCACCTGCAGTGTCACGATTTCCCCACCTACTAAGATAATCTCACAGACCCAAAATGAGTTTTATTGTCATGGTCTGCGTCTGCCCCTTCCTTCGTGTGCCTCCTGGTGTTTCTCCATCCTCTCGAAGTGCTCCTTTTGTGTCTTCTAGCGCCCTCATGTGTCATGTCTGCGTCTTCCTCATGTGTCTCCTGGTGTTCCCCATTTGCCCTTTAGGTTTCCCCCCTCAGACATCCCTTTCCCAGGTCCTGTGCTCTCTTGGCCGCCTCTTAGCCACGCCCCTGTTGTTTCTTTCTATAGTGTTTTCCTTTAGTGTCAGATTCCCCTTAGAATATTAGTCATGGTTCGTGCTTTCTGGTCTTTTGTTTTTCTCTTAGGTCATTTTCCTTTGTTACAGCCTTTCAGTATTTAGTGTGTTTTTCCCACCAGTGTTTTCTTCCTCCTCCCTGATTTAGTAATTGTATTCACCTGGTTCCTCTCCCCACACACCTGCAATTATCTCCCTCTCATCTTCCCAGTCTATTTAAGCCCTGTCTTGTCTCTGTGTTGTTGTCGGTCCATTGTATGTTTGTGCATTTGTCAGCGTTTGTTCGTGCTCTGTTTGAGCTTTTGTCTCCAGGTCTTCGTGCTCTTAATGAGCTTTTGGTCTCCAGGTTTTTGGTGCTCTAAGAGAGATTTGGGTGTCCTGTTCTCCAGGACTTTTGGCCCGCTGTCATTTTGGATTT